AAACCAACGACACGAGCGTAATCACCGGCACCTCCAGTTTGTTTCTTGAGAGTGTGGTCGAATGCCACATGTTCAGTGATGGTCTCTCTGTAAGCGACTTGAGGTTTACCGGTTTCAACTTCGACCTTGTACTCTCTTCTCATTCTCTCCACGTAAATATCAAGATGCAATTCTCCCATACCAGAGATAATGGTTTCCTGACTTTCGGCGTCAACATGTACACGGAATGTTGGATCCTCACGTTGGAATCTGTTCATAGCCTTACTGAAGTTGGATCCGTCTTTGGTTGTCTTTGGTTTGATAGACAAGGAAATGACGGGATCTGGTACGAACATAGAAGACATAGAGTATGGTAAACCACCGTCGGTAAATGTGTCTCCAGAAGCGCAATCAACTCCGAACACAGCACAAATTTCTCCGGCTCCAATTTCAGGAACTTCCTCCATCTCATTGGAATGCATGCGCACAATTCTAGGGATCTTGACTCTCTTATCGGTTCTAGCATTGAACACGTTCATGCCCTTTCTCAAGGATCCTTGGTAAACTCGAATATAGGTCAATTGACCATAATTACTTTCTTCAAGTTTAAAGGCCAAGCCGACGAATGGTAGCTCATTATAAGAAACAAGCTTCACAGGGGCTTCAGCTCTTCGCTTGTCAAGCGCCAAATTCTCAACCTCAGCAGGATTTGGTAAGTAATCGCAGACTGCATCAAGCATAGGCTGCACTGACTTGTCAGCTAAAGCACTTCCCATCAAGACAGGAGTAAATTTCAAATTGATGGTTGCCCGTCTGATAGCAGCCTTCATTTGCTCGATAGATGGAGTTTTCTCATCCAAGAAAATCTCGGCAATCTCGTCATCGACATCGGCCAATGTTTCGATCAATAGAGCTCTCTTCTCTTCGCACAATTTCTTGAGTTCCTCTGGGATTTCATCAGTCTCTCTGATGATTTCTCCTTTGGGCCCATCGTTGTAGATAGCCTTCATCCTGATCAAATCAACAACACCGTTGAAGCTGTCTTCTGAACCAATGGGGACTTGAAGTGCTGCCGCTGGGATTCGTAATTTTTGATTGATCTGCTCGACGGCCTTGAAAGGATTGGCACCCATTCTGTCCATCTTGTTAATAAAACTGATACGAGGAACATTGTATCTTCGCATTTGTCTGTCCACAGTAATCGTTTGACTTTGAACTCCACTGACAGCGCAAAGAATCATGACAGCTCCATCCAGTACTCGCAAAGCTCTCTCGACCTCAATTGTGAAATCAATATGTCCAGGGGTATCGATCAAATTTATATGGTATTTCTCCTCCTTCCCATTCTCAACCTTTAACCAGTCGCAGAATGTAGCAGCAGATTGAATTGTAATACCTTTCTCCCTCTCCAATTCCATGGAATCCATCTTTGCGCCGACTGCATCCTTTCCTCGGACTTCATGAATAGCATTGATTCTTCCAGTGTAAAAGAGAACTCGCTCTGTGGCGGTCGTTTTGCCACTGTCGATGTGTGCTGCGATACCAATGTTTCTGACCCTCCTCAATCGATCCCTCTCTGCGGCATTTAGATTGTCGACAATGGCTTCTTGGGTGAGGGCTGATGGATCTGCGGCAGCCTTTTCTAACACTGCTTGAGCAACACCAGCTCTGATAATTGGCGATTGAGAGAAATGTCTCTTTCCTCCCAATCTGGCACCGAGAATCGCATTTCTTGCTCCGAGCCCTTGCAGAGGTGAGTTCAGGCACAAAAATCTTGCTCTTGGGACACTCCCACGTAGCACTCCAGCGCAAGCTTCCGTTGAAGCCACAGCGCGGGCTACTCTATGCATACTCATGGTTGCTACTGGATTGTGGTATCATTCATCCATTCGATAACATGCGTAACTTTTTTTTATCGATTAAATATATCGGAGTAAGTTTAGCCGAGCCCGCTCACAATCATCTGATGATGAACTTGCTTTTTGAAAGCTATTGTAGACTTTTATTAGACACACTAAAATTCTACATTGCTTAACGTATACAAAACTAGTACTCCTTGGAAGTCGATCTGAAATCATGAACATCTGCTTATCATTTCATTGAGGGTTTTCTGAGGGAAGTGATATTCTGAGTCGCTTACATAATAGCTTTCTATATTGAAAGCATGACAGCGCGTCAAACAATTATGCCTTTCGCGTTTCTTACAATCGCCACGAGTCGACCATGGACATCGAGATATGGCATCGGAAACAACTCCAGAAAAGGACGAGAATGAGCATAAGTCTCTCAAATATTCTCTACTAGGCCCGTCTCTCACAAAATCTGGACAAGATTCTGTAGACCAGTCAAAGGTACGTGGCGACCGAAGTATGCTTGTAGTCTCTCTAACTTTATCACCAGGTTTCCGAGATCATCTACAATGCTTCGAAGGGGTCCAAATATTTCAATCACGAGGAGGAAAGAGACAAGACCCTGACAGTAAAGATCGAACGAATTTTAAAAAAGAAGGCTGAATTGGAGAAGCTTGATTTAGCTCACGACCGTCGACGAGCAGACACTACGATTGCAGAGCTCGAACTCACAAGAGATCTGACTCAAACAATCGTCCATATTGATTGCGACGCATTTTACGCTGCAGTAGAGGAGCTTGACCGTCCGGAACTGAAAAATGTTCCATTTTCTGTTGGGAAAGGAGTTGTCACAACATGCAATTACCACGCACGGCGATTTGGGGTCAGAAGTGCGATGGCGGGGTTCATAGCGAAGAAGTTGTGCCCGCAATTAATTCAGGTTCCTCTGAATTTCGATAAATACACCGCGAAGGCACAAGAAGTCCGGGAAATTTTGGTGGACTATGATCCACGGTTCGAGAGTGCTAGTATTGATGAGGCATACCTTAACATCACGGAGTACTGTCAAAGGAATGATATTGACCCGGAGGCTGCCGTTGAACAGCTGAGAAGAGAGGTTCATGAGAAAGCGAAGGTAACCATATCTGCTGGAATTGCAGCCAACGCTAAGATAGTGAGTACATTCTGCAAGTTTAGAAGTCAGCAGTACGACAGGCGAGGCGGGACGCTATTATCATTGACCCGTTGCTGTAGAATCTCAAATTTGAGAATGAGTTTAGATATCAGTATACTGACTAAGTATAATTAGGCTAAAATATGCTCGAATTACAATAAGCCTAATGGTCAATATCGCGTTACAAATAATCGAATTGAGATTATGAAATTTATGCGAGACCTTCCAACTCGCAAAGTCAACGGAATCGGACGAGTATTCGAAAGGGAACTAGGCGCCATAGGCGTCAATACATGCGGAGATATCTACAATGTGCGACACTATCTACCCAAATTGTTTGGAGAAAAGGCGTTCATTTTTCTAATGCAATGCTATCTTGGACTCGGGAGAACAGACGTCAAACCGGCCGAGGAGTATACCCGCAAGAGTGTCGGCACTGAAAGTACATTCAATGATATGAATGATGCTACAGAACTTCGAAGCAAACTTCGACATACAGCTGAGGAGTTGGAAAAAGACATGCAACGAACACAGTTCAAAGGGCGAACTCTAGTTCTTAAAGTGAAACTAAAAACTTATGAGGTTCTTACAAGACAGGCGGCCCCACCAAAGGCTGTCTTCTTAGCCGAAGATCTGTACAAATATTCTCTTCCTATGCTTGAGAAACTGGAGGCGGAGATGCCGGGTTTGACATTACGACTAATGGGGCTCCGGTGTACAAATTTAATCAGCATGAAAAAGCCCGACACAATGGCCTTTTTCGGATTTAGAAAACAAGACTCACGGGAGAATGATGTCGGCGAAAATGAACGCAAATCTTCCTCTGCAACAAAACGAAAAGCATCGGATCTCCAAGACAATGACTCCGATGAGCGATGGGAAGTTTGGCCCGAAGAACTCCTCTTCGAAGATGCCGAGCGTCAAGAACGAGAAGAGGAATTCAAGGAAATGGAAAGCTTAAGTCAACTTGAAGAAAACGATCCACGGCGACATCATGGAAAGGAAATTGTGCCAAATCCCAAACCGAAGGACGGCGCTGTGGTGGAAGAAGAATGGTGGGACTGTCCCGTTTGTCAGCGGCCACAAGCGACAAATGAAAAGGAATTCAATGAGCATATTGATCTTTGTCTTTCGAGACAGACAATCAGAGACGTAGTTCAAGAGACGTCTGGAGTACCTGAGACACCATCTGCATCCGGAAGTGGCCACAAATCTCAAATTGGTAGTTCAAGGAAAACCAAGGCAGGAGAGAAATCAAAGGATAAAGGAAATACTCCTAGTGATCCTAAACAGCGAAAGTTGTGCTTTTGAAACGGGGTATCAGAATTAAGCAATGATGTGTGAGGATGGGATTTGGCATTTGGGGGAGTTCATTTGATGGGCTTTTTGGATGGGCAGAGCATGATTTTTTTTTCTTTTGCATAAATTTCAGATACCCAATAACATGTCGCGGTGCATCGGTGGCTTATCAGTAATAGTTACATCTTCACTAGTACAATCCATCTAGAACTAGGTAAATTCACCAATCAATGACATCATACTAGATTCCCACTTCTCGCTAGCTAACAATATAAATGTCAAATCTACAAGCTTTGGGCTTCCAGCCTAGCAACTCGTAGTGCTTTGTAGGATACATGAAAGTGCGTATTGTAGCTATCCTTGAGAATAAACCACAGAGTAGACTGATCTATTGGTTGGTATAGAAAGCAAAATCTTTGCATGAACAAAGTAGAACACTCGAAGAGACCAGATGAGTCAATCATATGCGAGAATTGTGGTATAATTCATTGTGTACTGGAAAATCGCAGAAACTAGTCGCGTATTTCAACCCATCCCTATTCGATCTCCGATTCCTATCCCAATTTTCACATTCATCGTCTGTACTCCTCTTTTCTCTTTGTTGCAATCATATCCGACGCATACATGCTAAATGACAACTCCCTCGCACTTAAAATCAAAAACTCCCTCCAGCCCAATCACAATAGATCGTCGTAAATCTATGCACCTCCTTCTCTCTTAGCATATTCCTCCTCGATAGCTTCCTCGTATCTCTTCTCGGCACTCTCATTACTGCCTTCAATCGGACTCGTAGGATCCTCCTTCAAAACACCCTTGTTTACCAATTCTTCCGGTTGCGGACGATGACTTAATTTTTCGTTCAAACTATCCGCACGCATGTGTTTCTCCAATTCTTTTTGTTGTGCTTGGATACCTGGAGCGGCGTTTGTGGAGGAGAGGATATTACCTGATTTCAGTATTAGCGTTTATTTCGATCGAAATGAAATATATGAAAAAGCATTTGTGATAGAAGTTGATACATACGTTCAACCAAATCCTCTTTGGTAGGACGATGTTCCAAGTTCTTCTTCAAACTATCCGAAATTCTTTGTTGTTCGAGTGCATGTTGAGCACTTTGAATACCACTGTTTTGTTTACCCCGCAATTAGCACATTGACGAACAAACTGCCAGAACACGATGGCAGACTGGGGAAATATGGAGATGGGGAGAGTATTTAGTAGGATTGTAGAGAAAGAGAAAAACGTACGGTGCAGCATCTGTATCCAACAAAATATGTCTCTCCTTCAACTCATGAGCCGTCGGCCTGTCGGCATACAACTTCTCTAAACTCTTTTGACGTTCGTGTTGTGCTGGTCTTACAACGGAACTTGTATCGACGAGGGGTTCTTGAGTTTGCTCCGACATTTTTGCGAATATGATGAACGAGCTTGTGAGTTTGTGGGGAGTACTAGGTAGGCAGGAAGGATTTGAATCTATTGTTTCTATAGATGTGTGGATGTTTGGGAAAGGGATATGTTTCGAGGGAGAATATAAGAGTAAATTGCGGTTGTCAAAGTGGTTGTCAAAGTGGTTGCTACAGCAAAACGAAAAGAAGAAAAGAAAGAAACAAAAAGCTTGAAATGCGTATTAGTTAAATACCTACCGACCTAATGGCAGCTGAGCCGCGTGATGGTGAATTGTCTGGAGTAGAGCCTTGTTTATTTGTACATTATACCTGTACCCCAGCAACCAATGACGAAATTCAGGGTGGATGCGGGGCTCGGCCGCTAATGGAGAAGTGTGGCACTACTCAGTTGGTCCCTGATTATCTTCTGCCCCTCCTGAGTCCCAAGTCCTCTTTACTCGGAGAAAATCTTATCAACTTTCACAGTCTCATCTCTCAGTCTCCCAGTCTCACATTTATTACATTGTTATATTCGAGGACTATCATATTCATTATATATCTATCAATGAAAGTCCCCTTAAATATATACTACTTTGAAATTATATACAATTTATACAATTTATACAAACCAAGCGCTTACAGACCGAAATATAGCCACCCTTATGCCTTTATTAATTAGAGACGACTTGAAACGACGATGCTTTGTCACCCCAGAAATCAAGACGAACAGTCTTAATACCAGTTTCCAAAGTTCGATCAAGCTCATCGACATAGTCATATGCAGCAGAACCTTCAATGGCGAGCCTCTCGTAGCAATCCGCATCACCCAACCGCCATTCTGGGAGCGTCTCTGAACAATCTTTGTACTTGAAAACATACTCATATGCTGTCACTTTTCCTTGCTCATCAACTTTCTCCTGGCGTTTGTAGTTGTCACCCTCTAGGTCGATAGGTCTATATCTCAATTTTTCCCAGTTCTTGTGGTCCCTATGATCCTTCTGTTTCCTCGCTTCTTCTGCTTTCTTATCCAGCTGTTGAACTCTGAATCCCGTAGTTGGGTGAATATATTCATGTGTTTCGCCCAGTTTATTGCCTTTCTTATCAAGAGCATAACGACCTGGTGTGCGTGGCTTCGATCCGTTGGCTTTATACATGGTGGTGAAACTATCATTCAGATCTCCAACACCCCACGCGTGTCGTCGGTCCTCATAGTGAATATTCTTTTCGTCAGTCAGCGGATGAGCAACTTTGGAAGCTGCCCATTTGCCATTTCGCCAAATCCATTGACCCCAACCCTCTTTCTCGCGCTCCTTTTCTCTGTCTAGGTGAACTTGGCGCTCGTTGTTCAGTTGCGCGAATCTTCCCTGACGATCATAACCGTCTTCCTTTATGGTTTCCCTGTCAATCGACACATATTTTTCAATCTGGTCTAGCATCCATGCTAACGTAATGTTGGAAATTTCTTCCATATTGTCCTTGTTCAATAGCGTATCACTTGATCCGCCACCAATGTGTATGTGGTAGCCAGGAAACCAGACTTGTTCAAGTACCTTCTCACCAGTGAGCAGTGCTTTCTTCATCTTATTGTTTTCTTCCATCTTAACGACCCTTTCGGTAGCTTCGTTTCGGATTTTGGCCAGATCTCTCAATTTGTCGAGGTTAGGTTCAGGACTAGAAACCATATCATACCACTCTATATTTGCATTATCAGATATAGTCCGCTGTGCCTCTATTTCAGCGTCTGTAAAATCCTCAGGCTTTTTGATGTAGTAAAGAGTAGGTGTGAATGCTTCACGGTGCTCATCAAGGGCTAGCGCTTGAAATGCATGCTTGATGTCTGGGATGTGAATTAGTTTTCTGGTTAATGCAGCTCTATCAGTAGAAGGACTCACTGGCTGAAAGTTCAACATTGTGCCATTCAGGCTTATCACCAATAGTCGTCCATTTGGGCAATTCCATCCCAAAAACTTCGGGCAACCCTAAAGCTCCGACAGTATCAAAGACTCCCACTACCTCTACTTCCATTGATTCTTCGGGAGCCCATTCACCATGAGCCTTTATATCCCAAACTAAATCCCCATCAGGTCGATCCTCCGGATCGGGTTGCGGGTCAGCAACTCTCCCTTCTCGCCAACTATAGTACAGAGCACTACCATAAAATCTTTTTCTGGACCCGTCGTCCCCGGATTTTTTCTGCTTGTACAACTTCCACAAATCAGGAAATTTTTGAAGCTGCCTCTTCGAACAAATCCCAATATCCGAAATCAAGCCCGCAATCGTCCTCGCCGTATACGCACCCCGAGAAAATCCAAAACACATAATCTTATCTCCCGGGTTCCAATTCAGTACACAGAAATTGTACGCCTCAATCACATTTCCTTCCAATCCCTGACCAATAGCTCCCTCGAGTCCAGGTCCCAAACCCGTGGATGTGGTTCCAACTCCAGAATCATACCAAACGACCTGTTGCCAGTCTTTGTCATCTTTTGGGTCTCGAGCGACGCTGTTGATGGCGCGACAGAGACGCGTTACGTTGGATGGACAGTTCTCTTTTCCAGAGACGGCAGATTGCCAGGTTCCATCACAGCAGATTATGATGCGTTTTCGGGCGGGCTTGATTCGGCAATCTGGAATGATACTTTCACTTATGAACGACATGTTGGAATAGACAATCGATGCAGAACCATCATCAACATTAACGATGCTGGGGCTCTCCTATTTATCTCCATTCCCACCCATCGTTTCCCACTCCCACCCTCTCAGCATTAACCACAAAGCCACCTCATTTCCAACTCAGCCAGCTCCACGCCGCCACCAAAGCGACCAAACCACACAAATGAAATCAATTCCCTCATCTTCCCCTCTACACAAATCCACAGCGTTCTAGCCCCCTCCGTATCCCCAAACTTAAATTCTCGCATCCGCGCACGCTACCATTCAGCTGCTCTTCTTTCAGCTGGACCCACTCTCCACTCTGCATCCCGCGTTCTAGCCCTTTTCATCAGTCTCCGTACCGTAGATAGATTTTCGCACCGCGAACTTGCGGAAATGCGAAGCGTCGCCTCGTCGGTGTCGCCGGTGAGGAGGAGCTAATAAATAACTAGCACGCCTGCTATCTGGAACCTAGGCTCGCTAGGTAATGCGGGGAAGCTGAAAGGAGTATATGCAGAAAGGGAAGGGTGGGGTAGGGAAGGGTATGGTTATAAATTCTATAGCATAGCGCTACTTATTTGCAGGTATAATATTGGATGTTGGATACCTACGAGTAGATAAACATGCTGTCCTGATAAGGAGGTAGTTAGGTAGATATTTCGAGGTGTAAATTTACAGTTAAATTTTTACAATTGTGCGAAATATATGTAACCATGTATGATCTTGCGCGAGGGAAAGTAGAGTGAGGGGTGATTCGAAAGATGTTACCTGAAATTGTATAGCTTATCAATAGGGGGTTTGAATAGTTCTATCCAATCTTGATGCGTGATTCACTTTGCTCATTGTGTGCCGCATATGAGCGAAGAAGCATGCGTTTCATTATCATTCTTGTTCTTGGTATAGTTCTTAGGTATTCGACGAGAATTAAAGGTCTTTGGAGGTCTATAGTCGAATCACTCCATGTCTATTTCTCCTCCCACTCCCACTCCACAATGTTATACGCCTCTTCTGTCTAAAAGTCTTCGATATCTAATCGGATCTAATCCCCCTTCTTCTCTACTCATCGAAACTCCCCGAATCGCAAACAGATTCCCTGCATGACCCCTACCCCCTTTTTCTAATCGTCCTCGCAGTATTTCCTCACAACATCAATAATTCTCCTCCTGGTCGTCTTCTTATCAAAAACCTGCGCGTGATCCAATGTGCCAAACCATAAAACTTCTGTTCCTACTCCCTTCCACTCTCTATACTTCCACTCGTCCTCATTTTCTACATCCATGTCATCTTCTCGTATTACTTCTCCATCTACAGGTCTTTCCACTTCTCCAGCTTCCGACTCGTCAATATCTATCAAAGGCGCGACATTCATATTCGAAGTACTCTTGACTGTCCCATTGGCATTTCCATTCGTAGCCTTCAGACTCGGAATCGATCGACCGGATAAGTTTCCACAACTCAAGTACCTCCCCACTGCCTCCGTGTCCACAATCAAATCTCTTCCCGCCAAACTTGCCGTAACTTTCCTCCCCTCGAAATCCTCGTTCCATAGCACATTCTCATTCCAGAAGAATTTCCTTCCCAATGTATGACTGACTCCTGGATCCATGCTTGCGAAATAGTATAATTGATATTCATTCGCATCTTTCGGGATTCGACGAGTGAAATTAAATGCGACAGAAGGTAAATGTAGGCAGATAGAGACAGGATCGATGAGAACAACTGGGCCGATGCGCGGGGATAAAATTGGGGATTGCAGAAGGTGCGTGGTCACCACCGTACCGTACGAGTGAGAAATCAGGACGAATTTCTGATTTGGCCCAAAATGCTGACTGATTATTTGGGAAATTTCGAGAGCGGTTTCCTCGCGCGAGAGGGCAGAATGAGTGAGACGGAAACTAATGTTCATTATTTCAAGAGCAAGAATGCCAATGTGATCATCGGGTGTGCCGGTGGAGGCATTGAGTTCATTGAGGAATTGGGTATAGGGATATAGACCGATGCCGATGCCATGGATGAAAACGACTGGGAGTTTGGTTTTCGAAGTGTGCGGTCGGTGCCAATACGATATGTGCTGAGCGGGCGAACGATACGTAGTAAATAGACTGTGCGGGCGAATAGGAATGATGCTAAGGGATTGTTTGAGATTCGTGCGATAAAAGTTGAAGCCGTGATAACGCAGGGAACAAAATGTTAGGAAGTCAACAAATCCGACACACTGTGGTAAATAAGATTAGCATCTTCTATTATCAGCACATGAAGAATAAGAATCCTTACACAATACCAAATCAAACTCCTATGCGACATAACAACCTCATCCAAGGTCAACCTCAAACATTTAGCATTTCCCCTTCCCTCCGGAATCTCCCTT